ATGAATATGAATATCCAATGAACTATTATTTTTATGAAACAGATTTAACGTTAAATAAATAATATATGTGCCGTATGGGGTTATTAATTACAGGTCACGTTCATTCTGCAGCTGTGTGTATGTCTGTTGTTGGTTCCTCCACTATGTTCAACTAGAGAAACCATCATGATGATGTAACGGATTCATAATAACTATGTTTATACATCTGTGTATTGTTTATGGACGGAGTTTTATTTCTTTCATATCTATCTTTTTAATAATAAAGATGATGACGATAAGGCTGATTGTATTATCACTGCGCTTATGATGAACATAATAAAATTAGTTTTAATTGATTCTTCGGAATAATTTATGTAAACAAAGAATGAATAAACATTTTATATATATTTACAACATTAACATAACATTGTTTACAATAAAAATTCTTATGTTTGTGTTAAAACTCATAAGTTGTTTTAAAAATATTCACTTATCTCATAATGACCTATGTCTAAAGTATTCTATATGATCTATTAAAGGTTAGCAGGTTTCATTGCACCACTAGCTAGTGGTATGTGGATCTGTGCCGTTTCGACTGACAAACAATTTATATTTCAAGTAATTTCCCTTGATATTAAATCTAACACCGAGAGGATATCAACTAGACAGTAAAGTGAGTTCAGCTGTATGGACACAATGTATAGTGAAGTGGGATAATATTAGGTTCATGGATTGTTCATTAGTGTTTACTGCATTTCATTATGTTATGAGTAAGTTAATTAAACATTTTCTATCTTATATTCAATACGTTCATCTAAATATTGAGCTTACACGAAAACGAGATGTATTGATCATTTGGTTTTTTACCAGTAAATTAAAGTCAATTTTTGTTGCATGTTGCACATAAATTCACAGTTGAAAATATGTGCATAATTATTTGCATTACGGGGTTGTGAAGATTGTTAAGTTACACATTTTTGAAACCATGAATCGATCAATGTTAGACCACCATTAGAAACCTGGAAGCACTGGACGGCCGTTTCGTCCTGGTATGGGACTCCTCAGCAGTGCGCATCCATGGTTTCAAAAATGTGTAACTTAACAATCTTCACAAACCCGTAATGCAAATTACCTGCGCTCACTAGTGGCTAGCTTCGTGAGGAATCTTCTCCGAGTTCTAGTGGGAAGACGTGACCAGTGAAGTTCAACTTGTTCGGGTGTAGACAGTGTCTACCGAAGACTGTGTACGAGGTTGCACAACTCCGTGAATTTGATCAAGTTAGACATTAACACCGTTAGATACCGGCTCAGTGGTCTAACGGTTAGGGCGTTCGCGCATGGTACCGAAGGTCCTGGATTGGAGTCCTGCGGGGTGCAGGAGTCGTGGATGCGCACTGTTGAGGAGTCCCATACCAGGACGAAACGTCCGTACAGTGCTTCCAGGTTTCTAATGGTGGTCTAACACTGATCGATTCATGGTTCCGAAAATGTATACTTATTTGTAATAATCAATGTCGGTGTGGATGATTTAGAGCACAAAAAAATAAGATGAATTCAGCTCATTTCACAATGTTGGTCAATTTCACTTTATAAAAGTTTGTCAAGGGAATCATTTGCATAAAACAATTTAATATGTAAAATTCTTAATAGAAACCACCACTTAAATATGTACGAAAAGCGAATAACATCAGAAGCTATCATGGATATTTTATCTATCTATCTATCTTTCTCTAAAGACAAAGTTACTTTGCTCATCATAACACAGGAAATACGTAAACTATTTTCAAATAAGAAAGTTTGAAAACTGTTTCAACTAAATAACTTGTAACTTTGTTTTTTGTTTCGATTTAATATGAGTTTTTCGATCAGTAAATCTTTAGCGAACTTAAATGAGCAATACGCGCTGTCAATCTATTCTACCCAACTTTTGACAGCCTACGCTTTTTTTTCTCTATAATTTACCGATCATCTAGCTTGAATAACACATTTGCAGAACACCCAGGAATTATTTTGCTTAATGATAGAGTTTTCAAACACTATCAAACAGCTCACAATAATATGGTCTTCCATCTCTCTGTGGCATGCTGAACACAGATCACTTTGAATGGTTGATAAAGTATTTCGGTTGTATTGGTTGATTTTCTCATGAGAACTGAATTTACAGGTGTATCTGTCTTCTTGTTACTGTTTTTTTTTCACAGGATTGACAATACCATAATACATGGGCGATAGTTTATTTTATAACTAAACAAAGGAATATAAAATATCTTGTCAATCTATCAATATTTTTCTAATATTTGACCTAGATAACGAAAAAAACTATGCATACATATAGTATTTACACATAGAAGTTACACGTGAATTTAAACTGTTGAGAGTGAATAAATAACAATTGATTACTACTGATGATAAGAAGAAATTTTTTCTCATATGTTTAGAAATCTACCCCAATCCTAGATGTCAACCTCTACACTTTGACACATACAAAAACCCGAGTGAATAAAATACGCTGTGACAAAAAAAAAGGAGAGTAGATAATTTATGCATACACATAAATTATTTCATCTAAATCGCTGTAAAGAATTTTTGTCAGGCACATGTGTTTTATGACCTTTGTTTCTCCCAAAAAAAGACGAATTTCCGATCAGCCAAAGAAAAATCACCAGTTGATTAGTTTTTTTCTCTCTCTAGTTTACCATGAAAATTGGATACGTTTTTTCTTTATGTGATGACTTACTTAGTGTGGCTTCCTTCTACTTACTGTTTTCCAAAGATTATTATCAATTTAAGGCTAAATACAAAATTGACAAATGTCTTATGGCATTATATTATACCTGCCTACCTATCTAACTTATATATCAACGTTTATTTTTATTCTGAACTAATTTTTTTTGTACGCCTGTCTATCAACGCTTATTAATCACTGTGATAGGATTAGCTTGTCTAAAATACTCTTAACATTTTTTTTCTCTCATGAATGATTATTCTTTTTTTATTTTTCAGGCAAAAATTCTATGACCCTAAACAATGTAACACAATTTACGGTCTACATTAACATTCTTTTACAAATTCTATGAGTGTAATAAAAAATTGGAAAAAAAAATATGATTAATGTGCATCAGAAGTGTAGTTGATGCTAGTTGTGGTGAATACGGTCAAATTACACAGTGTTCTTCATTTTATTGGTAAGTAAATTGAACTGAACTTAAAACTATGAGTAGTAAATGATGATCACGGCGTTAATTAAGTGAATGACAACACAATTAACCAAATCGATGTGTGTGTTGATGTTTGTTATACACCATCATTACGCGTATTTCAGTTCGGACTGATCATAAATTCAGTGCCAGAAAAAAAATGAAATAATTGTCCGGTGTTTTTTTTTATCACTACATTTTGATGAACTAATATGCCTAATTGATGTATATACTCTATTTCATTGTAAATGTATGGAATCACTGCACGATTTCATGACGACTTATCGATTTTCATAGGAAATCAACATACTATTTCATAGTTGAAGTTTATATAATTTCTTTGTGATCATCGAGGATCTTAAATCATCTAAAAACTTGACTTCGCTCTTCCTACAAAGACAGACACATCCGAAATCGATGGATGATTTCAAATGTGTGATAACAATTATGTTGTAGGTTGTTGGAGGTTTGCCGGCAGATTACATGGCAATGGTTGCTGTTCAGTTATCGGTTTACTTTTAAACTTCTTTATTCTGGATGAATTGATCACAAAATCCACCAAAGTCATTTTAAATTAATCTCTCAGAATAATTGTAAGTTTTTAATTCTTGATTTCAGTCCCTCTGTAACTAGCATACAAATTTTTAATCTGGTACGATCTCTTCTATACACTAATTAAATTAAGCTTGTTTGTTAAAGTGTATTTCGTGATTTATTGTGAAATGGGAATGTAACGAGAAATTCACTAAACAAATTGAAATTATGTTAAAATTAATACGAATTTAGATTTCTAAGAAATGATTACTTACTTACAACTCCTCAAAAAGGCCAAACTTATAATTTGCATAACTCACAATCAGCATGTTATCATCAAACCATTTGAGTTTGAATTTATCGACCAACACAATCAAAATCAATCAATTAATCTGTGACACTTGCAATGGCATCTGTCAACTATTGTCTCATATCCAGGCAAGTAGCATGTGTTCAGATTATAACCACTTGCTGATATGATCTTATGTTGGATGGGTGCATTTTGGGAATTTTTTTCCCTCATACGACGCATGAAACACCCAATCAGTGCTTTCTGGTTTTCGACAATTTTTCAATTGATTTCCGTTTGGCGATCCACTGAACTTTGGAATAGTTTTAGTGAAATAACTGCGATAAATATCATAATGTTGAAAACTAGCAAAAACTAAGTGATATAAGCTACATCACTAATTTTGAGACGACAGAGAATAGTTTGTGAACGGACTTTCATTTTGTAAGTGATGAACTCATTAGCTTCGTGAATAGTAGTAATCTGTTATTTAGGTCGATAAATAATTGGTTCACTACAAGTGCCGATTTCGATGGTTCATTCTCTCTATTATGAATGCTAATCATAACTCAAAGTTAAGAAATGATAGGAGTTGGGTCGTTTGCATAACTGGGATCTAAACAAACGGCAGTATTTAGAATATCTGTTTTTCATGTTCAATAATGAGTGCTCTAGAGTTACATTATTAAAGTAACATAGATATCTGAAAAGTTATATGCACCGTGTCAATGAGGCTTCAGAGAGTATATAACTCTGATCTCTAGGTTAATTACTGTGAATAGCCAATAATCGAACATAATAAACCACGATTTACAGGATATTGGCGTCACTGAACATACTGTATTGAGTCAAATGCACAATAGGTTTTTATTGATTACGCGAGCTGACTGACGATTTATTCTCATGATAAAAATGCAGGTGACTAATGTTTATTTACCATTTGTCGAGTGACATACCTATCAGACTACATGGTATTTTGTAAAATTTAATATCGAATTTTATTTTGAAAAAATAACGGTTTATTTAAAGTTTCTTTAGATAATTAACAAAATATTATACAGGTAAATTCAACAAAATATGAATAGTTTCAATTATGTACATGAAAAGAATAAGATCTCAGTATATTGTGTCAATAACTGCATGGGGAGGGGATAAACATATTTGTATAATCAAAGTTTATCTTGACAATATGAAAAAAAAATAGTTACAGTTTTTGTGTATTGAAACAAATGAAACAAGTGAATATCTAACAAATAATACACTATCGTAATCAGTTTCTGTTCATTTGCTCTAGCCATCAGTATATTATGGATAATTAAAACAATTATTTTTTTTAAACATTGAACATATTGAAAGACATTTGTGTTAGTGTGTGTATTGGAGACGCTGCATCACATTCAGTAACAAAATCCAGCCAATTGATTGATTATTTGAAAAAAAATCTGAAAATAAGCAGAAAAATAGAATATAGACCTTTAAGAAATCATAATAATTTTGCTAATTAAAAAACCTTTTATTTAATTGATGAAAAGGAAATATTTTTTTTCTCAAAACTGTGCAAAAATTAAGTGAGGAATAATTTCCCTATACTATAAGTTATTCAATATGATCAATTTAAATTACTTCCAAAAGGTCAATGAACTGAATCACAGTTATGATAAGGTCTTAGTTTTAGATAACGATACAAATTTATCTAAACAGAGATTTTGAAGTTATTTACGTCCCAAATGATATATATATATATATATATTTGGCCAAGTTTATTATGTGTCAAATATTTTGCATTTAAGTGTTCCATTTTATAGTATAATTCTATTCTCATTGAATAGTTGTTCTGCATTTGTTATTCATTCATTTGAGGCTCTGTGCTGATGAATCGGTTTGTATGAGCATTTTTAACGTATTCACACTGTAGATACCTATTCAAATGACCGATCGTTATCCATATGATCAGAAAATTTTTCGGTTTGCCGCAATAATCTGTAACGTTAAATAATACATGCAATAACCCATATCGTCATTCTGTCATTGTATGAGTGATAGTTACCTAATTATATATAACCCTAAGATAAAGCTACTGTTTTAAGAAAATAGCATTTATTTGCTGGTTCCTTCAATGTTACGAAACACACAATCATACGATCTCAGAGTAGCAGTACATTGTTCGTCACGAAATGTATGTTGACAAATGTGCATGACATTTTATACTACTTGCAAGTAATCAAACGAAATAAATAAAAGTATTGAACCTTCAGGTGAATCACAACTCTAGCTAAATGGGATCGTTTGATATACATTGAAAACCATATAGAAAAAATGCATCAAATACAAATTACACAACTATTACATATTATATATAGAGTGCATATCAGAAGCGAGTAAACTTTGAAGTTTACTTGTCAAGAGAATAGTGGATTTTGTTTATCATATTTTAGTCAATGCATATAAGTAAAATACTCTTCATTTAATTTACAGTTATTAATTACACTTTTCAAGAATTAAATAACATAGACCAAAAAAATAAAGATGAACTTACGTATTATTACTGTTCGCTCAATATGTATGTATATATCAAGGAAGCAACGTTATTGTTTATTTCAGTAAATGTAATTTCTCCGCTTGCTCACGCCATTTGGGAAGGATTTCTGAAAAAAAATATCAAACAAACACTATTCTCACAATTCAACAAGACAGTATCAGTTAGATAGTTTTTGGTCTTTTAATACTAGATCAATGATTGTTCTGTGTTATACAAAATTAAGTTTAAGATGTAAGATTTAACTATGAAATATAATCATGTATTTGAAATGTGTTTAGCATGATGAGAAAAAATAAACCATCACACATTATTCCTTATCTTACATAATGATTATTAGTTATTAAAATCCCTGTCTATGGAGGTATCAAGTGAAGAATCTCATCTTCAATGATACGAATAATAACCATGAGAAAATTCAGAAAAAAATTATTTAACGTGATTGATTCACTACCATTGCATCAATTAATTAAATCTATCAGTCATAAAGCATATTTTTTAAAACAACCAATCTCATCAAACAATCCATGCCAAATTTTATACTTACCCAGTAACGTCGTTTGTCTATATTTCTTAGTAGCATAGGTAAATTTTCTATTTTTCATTGATTCATGTTTATTCATTCCATATTTTACGTGGGAATTAACGGCGGTAGAGTCATCAACCAGTAAATCCTCAAGTGAATTTATTGTTCTGTGTGAAAAATTCGAGTTCGATGCAGTCGTTTTGTTTACTGTTAAGCTATTTAACTTTGTAAGTGAATATGATCGGCCCAAAATATGATTTGCAGGTGCGTGTTTCACGCTGCGAATAAAATTGTGAGACCATTTTTTCACTGGTAAATTCCATGTATTAATTCTAGTTGGTATGTATTTATTCTTCTTTGAAACATCTGCATTTGTTTTTAACAATTTCCTATGTTGTGAGACCAGTAGTTCACCCATTTCCTTCTTGTCTTTCCCTGTTTTCGTACAACTCTTTTGTTTCATCGGTGTTTGGAGAGCTGGGGTACTTCCATACGAAGTTGCTGTAATGCAACTATCCGAATAGTATTGTTTACTCAAATAAAATGTCGGTATATATTGATTTTCTGTACTGATGATCTCCCATTGCCATTGGTCACATGAACGACTATTCTCATTCTCATTGTTATTAACTTTAATTGTCGGTGTTGAAAAACTTTTTGGCAAGTTTTTTGACATCTCTTTGGTGTGTGAATGATCAGATATGTATGATGGTGTATTCGACGTATAATCATGTATGACGTGGTCAGTATTAAAGTCGTACATCCTTCTCAATCGTTCGGCTGATAATCTCATGGCATTTTCAGCTTCTTGTTGCCTTATTTTGGTGAGGAGTGCTTTATCTGTTGAACAGTTACTGGAGTGCGTAAATAACTGTCTCGCTGGAAAACTGTCGTCTGACTCAATTACCATTTTTATTACAGTAAACGAGCGTAAACTGTCGCGTGTCATAAATCACCTGGTTATTTATATCAAAAGACAGATCATGAAAAAATTGAAGAAAATTGAATATCCTAACATCTAGCCAATTAAAATCGAGTAAAGCGATGTGTTATATTTACCTTCATTCTATTGGTTGAAATTTCTTAACGTCATGAATTTTTTAATGGTGAGAATTTTTTATCATTAATTCAAGTACGATGATTGGTTAGAAAGCTAGTGAATCTGTAACTTGTGAAAACCGAATGATGGAAATATAAAAATAGTTACTGGTAGACTGAATTTTTTTTCAACACAGGGATGGTAAATGAAGCAGTCAGATATGACAATTCTCTGTAAGCTTAAAATTACTCGAGTTCCAAAGGTGACTAAGCACAGTAGATCAATTTTTAAAAAAAAATTAAATATTTGTACAAAATTCTACCCCCCCCCCAACTAAACAACTTTCTAATTAAGATAGGGGGGATGTGAAGGTTGCTAATTTTTCATGGTTTGTGTCACGGATTGATATCAGACTAAGAGCTTGGTGCTAACTGAAACCGATACGTGATGTAAACTGTGAAAATTTTAAATTAACGTAATAAAAACCAACGAAAGTAATCGACTAGTAAGCAAGTGGAGAGCATTAATTCAAAGGCATTGTTGTAGGCACAATCAGTACGAGCTTTAATACGACATTAGGTAAAACTTTCCTCAGAAGCCATGCTGTGTATGGTGTATAAAACATGTTCAATAATCCAATCAAAGGTTGACAAGTAAACCTTTCATGTTACTACTAAATGTATCTAGCCAAAGCATCTACATTGGCTGATCAGAAAGAAGAGCATAGCTTAGATTTTTTTGAACATATTTCTAAATTCCCTATAACAAAAATGATCTACTTTAAACTGAGCTATCGTTAAACATGTGTTTGATACAGAACACCAGATTGATACCTGGCAATCTTGCAAGGTGGATTAATAAACAATCAAGCTCCGGTCCTCGGAAGTTTGCTGAAACCTTTGTCATTAGGCACCTGAGACCTGATTTATGTGTTCATATAGGAATGGTTGTTAATCTACTTTGACCTTAGTCACAAACATTATAAAATTTTGTTTAACTCTTTATTTCAAATAATTACATAGTGCTCTTCTAGTCTATTAATCTTGTTTTAACTAATTCAGCTTTATTCATTTTTATTGCTGCTTATTATCAGCGTTTATTTTCATTTATAAGAGAGACATTATATGTTTGCTTGATGAATAGATTACAGAGCATGAAATTCATAGATTAAACCCAGTTTGATTTTACATACAACAACTAGGAGTTTAGAAACAAGTAAGCAAAATGTAAAACAGCAGTTATAATTCCTCTTAAATAGTGTGCTAACTGACAAGAAAATCAATCTATTTCTATTGAACTACAGAACAGATTCATTTTGAGCATTCAGAGTAATGAATATCTTCAGACATAAGATCGATCTTGTACTTGTTCCTAAACCACTAATTAACTTGACATACTTTGCTTTTTGATAATAAACTGTTTCTTGTATTACATGCAAGCCAATTAAACAATTTTTGGAGAGGGCTAGGACAATGTGTCGATCAAAGTATTTTATATCATAACCATACACTAACTGGAGAAGTTTTTGGAAGCCAAAAATATACCCACTAAACAACTGTTCATAGTAGTTTTCACAACCAACGATTTCATAGTCAACATGAAACTTTCGAATCACTCAAAGCGATACAGTTGGCTATGTGTCTAATGACAAAACATTTTGGTTATTATCTAATTTCCCACTTATTAAATAAATGGAATTTTCGGAATCATAATACAAGTAAACTATTGTTAACATTTTTTTTTGTTAAGAGATGAGATTGAACTAGCTTGTCATTTTTGTGAACTAACTAACTAACCATGGATGTGTATACAATTAATAAGCACGTACATAAGTAAGTTCCAGTATTATTTCAACAAAATTTACTTAGTCAAGTTGAATAAATTGTTATGCTGTGTGAAAACCATTAATTCATTCTAGTTCTAATGTTTAACAACAGATCCATGTTGAAATTAGTGTCATAGCAACATCGTATGACAGTAAACAAACACATGTTAGTCTGTTATGTAACAATAAACTATGATTAACGCTTATGGTAATGCTGATAATAGTTTTGTTCCTGATAAGTAAACTTGATATTTGTAAACATATATTTATATATATATGTATGTTTAATTTTAATAAAGCGGTACTTTAATTAGTAGTTGGAAATATTACTGTTATTATGTAATCAATTGTGATATATTTATGTGCATATGAAAATGGTACATGATTTATGATACTATGATATGTATGTTCTGTAAACTTTTTTTGTTTTTATCTTTATGCATATTAACAAAGTTTAAACAAACATACAACTTACAACAATAGCGATCAATGTTGCTGACTATAATTAAGCTGGTTTTTCACTGTATCAATTTTCCAATAGATAATACATAGTGTTTTTTTTTCTTGTTTTTTTTTTACAAACAATCGAATATCATAGTTTGAATTCATTTATGAATTATGTATTAACTATACTGATATGGATAGCGTTAAATTATTTCAGCTTTGATGACTAGACATTCTTTTTTTGTGCCACGAAGCAGTAAATAATGGTCTATCATTGCCAAGTTCATTGATAGTTAAATGAAACGACTAGAAAGTGGAATTGTGGTGCACGTTACTTATAAGTAGTATATGACGCGAGTGAAAACATAATGTCTGGAAGCAGAAGATGGGGGAAGATCAAGAAAGGAAGAGTGAGAACACAATGGAATTTGTATGAAACGCATGAACAGTGAAATGTCAGACAATGGATTGATATTTTGCAAATTAACGATTTACGATATGGTTTTCCTATTTTACCAATTAACTCTGTAATTTTCGATAAATACAATTCGGTTGCCCTCACCTGTGTTCTCCTTCACTACAGAATGATAGACTAAAATTTCTTAATCAGTAAAGACTTGAAAGAAAAAATTCTTGCGAATGATAAATGATAAATTATTGGTGATAAATAACTTTGCTAAACATGTATTTCTAGCTTTGTTTGTGTTATGCTCGTCAATTGATATGTTTGAAACTATTACGAATTTATCTCAGTCGGTAAACGATAGCGAAGACAAATGATCCAGTGGCACGATAGGCTACCCTAATCCGAGCATCCCAAGGCCCCACTAAGTAGAGGAAGAAATCTTAACAAGACGTAAAAAGTGTATTCTACAAGCACCCAGAAAATATGACGTTCAAAAGCACACATATCGAGTTGATTTATGCATCATAGAAACGCCTTTGAGCTAGCCACAAAAATAGCGTGCTAAAATAATACATTAACCAGTGACAGCTGATCAGTTTTTGGATGGTAAATGTAATTTCAACGTCAACTGATCAGCCCATGCTCGAAAACATTAAATCCAAAATTAGGACCTTTTCCAAGTGAGTTCTGGGGATCTAACGTCCCTAACAGTTTGAACCATAGATTAGCGCAAATAACTTGGATCGCTTATCCCTTTCAGTAAACGTAAGGTAGCGCTCAGTTTATCAACCAGTGCACTGGACACATTGACTGACCACTTTATTCAGTAAAGTATTTTTTTCTTAACATTGTTAATTACTGTCATTCGTCAGATGTGAATACGAAATTTAACGAATATTTGGACTACCTGTTTTCTAACTGTGCAAACAATGCTATTGTGATTGTCAACAAAGAACACTGTAGTAGTTGACATATTTGTCTTCTTGTCAGTCCATCAAAGAAAAAACAACAACAAGAGATTAGTACATTCGAATTCATGTCTATTCATAGTTGATAAATGGAAAATGTGACTGTTGAATTGAAACTGCTAGAGAATTCTTATGACTGAAGGTATGTAGACTAGGCTAATTGTTAAAAACATTCTTGAAATATGCTTTCTTGTGGATGTGTTTTCAATAAAAAGTTGTAACAATCTTGCATAACTGTTGCTAGAATTTCCTGAATGTAACAAATTCCTAATATCCATTGAAACAAACCAATTTGCATTGCCAGTGTTCTGCTGTTACTCCTATTCCTGTATGTGACAGATACTAACTTTGTTAGAATGTTCTTGTAAAAGCTAAAGGTCTCCTGTCTACACAATTTACGGTCCAATGTCATTTTCTTAGATCATCTATTTTGTGTTAGGAATTCGGGACCAATGTAGACATCAACTATACATGTCTTTCTTAACCGCTTGATCAATTAGGTATCTTTAATAAATAAAGCATGATTTCATGCTATCTACACACTCTCTATATATATGTATTATGGTTTTGTTCTCATCGGATGAAATGGAGACTTTAGAAGGCAGTTAATTATAAACGGAGTTATAATTTGCCGAGCTGACAACGAGGTAGCCCTAAATGGGTCCCACTCTGATGACTTTTGATAAATTATCTAAATATTTGATGGCTCGTGTGGAATACGGTGTATGATGAATATGGGATTTAGACGGTTGGTTATTCTTGTTTACAGTAAAAAGAATGGTAGTCAAATTATGATTTTTTTTCATTATTTGGAAGTAATGATTTAAATGCCGAAGGTATGCATTACTTACAATTTCAATGATATACATTTTTATGTGTGTGAGATTTTTGAAATTTGGCAAAGGTGGATTAGATAAATGTGTTTTAAACTTAATAAACCGGTTTTTCTAATATTTAGACATTGAAAGTTGAGTGTTAAACATTACCTATAACTATAATGTACTGTTCTTTCACATATTTTCACTATTTATATACCTACCAATAACCTATGCAGTTTGAACACCATATTGCATATGTGATAGGACTTTATTCTCTTTGTATATGACACTTTTTCTGCAATAAATTTTAAAAATATCTAAACTGATAAATTCTGATTTGATACTAATATTTAACGCATGGACGAAAAAGATGCTTCTATAAAATACATGTCTGTATCAAAAGTTAATAGGATCTCGTAATATTAGTTGTA